ATGTTATAAATAATATAAATAATCATAATCAATACTTCAAAATATGTGAATTTGTGCAGCAAATTTTTAACTTGTGGATGGGAAGATTTATTACAAAATCTTAGTAATGATTGGTTTTTATTATTTACTTATCATTATTATATTATTTAGATAATTATATTGACAAGATTGAGAAAAAAAAAAACTTAAATAAATACTTTTTTAAATAAAATAAAAGTGGTTATTCATACAAGAAGAAAAAATAATACTAATAAAATAATATCGAGCGACAGTGAAGCGTGGAAAATTTTATATCCAACCGCTCTCAGTCAGCTAAAGAAGTCGTAACACATCAGTAAATTAGTCCCAGCCCGAGAACAATATGCCACTGAAAATTGCACCATTATCAACTCAACCCATTCCAGACGACCCTCCGGGCCCAACACCCGAACCCACGGGCCCTCCACTTGATCCTCCTGTACCAGACGACACATGATTCTGAGTCGGAACACTCTGAACAGTGCCAGCTGCCACACCCTGAACAGCACCACCACCCGCCACGTAGCCTGGCGGTGGGTCCAGCATGGAGGTCACATTCGGGACCGGCCTAACACCTTGAGCCACCGGCTGAACTGGGCGGCTCATGGCCTGGTTGTACGCCTCCGTGTAGGCTTGCCCGGAAAGAGCCCCACGCATCCGGGCCACGGGCCGCCAGCTCATCTCGGCGGCCAGGTTGTGGCCATCGGGTCCCGCGAACGGCTGGCTGCCCATTTGGTCCCTTGGGGATGTGATGGTGCTGTAAGAGGTGGGCACGGGTCTCATTGGCTCGAAGGACATTTGTACGGCTCGGTTTGCAGCTGCAATGAGCTGAGAATGTTGGGTAGTGATCGGTTGACGCAGAAAGGAAGCCTGAGAGGATGGTTGTTGTACGTATGCATTTGGGGCCTGGAAACCAGTACTGCTTCGTTGTGGTTCGGCAGATGGGAACGAATAATTTCGCTGACAAAAAAAAAAAAATTCAGAATTGGGTGAGACAATTTCACCAAAAATACGGAAACTCGGATGATCTTCCGAAAAATGGGAATACACATCCCTCACAACGTTGCAACATTCGTTTGACTTGATGTCATATATATACATATAAAAATACACTACCCTTCAGCGTCCCGATTTGTAAAAGTAAAACAGATGCGACAGTTATTTTTAATTACAATGGCGGCAAAAATGTATTTTTAGTCCATCGGTTTAACGTTGTGGCAATTTTAGTTTCAAGGTTCCAACATTTCGCCTTTTGGTCTTGTGGTTTAATAATTTGCTGCAATTTCAATCCTTTTCAGGATTGCAACAAATTCCCAAATTCCCAAGATTTTTTATTAGCAATTTAAGTCATTTTTGTTGCAATTTCAGTCATTTGCAAAATCTTAAATCACATGACCAAAAATGGAAAAATTGGAATCTTGGGCCTACAATTGCTATAAAATTGTTATGGCGTTAAACCAACAAAATTAAAAATACATTTACGCCTTACGATGGCCATTTGAGATTATTTTACTTTTGTGTGAGTGAGTGAGTGAGTGAGTGAGTGAGTGAATCAATTTAAATTAGTTAATTATCAGGGGAGCCAAAAATATATGAGGGTAGTTCAATTGAAAAAGACTTTATCAGCTCTTACCTGTACAGCTGAATGCTGCATCGATGGAGACGAAGAAACTGGCAAGCCCTGACGTATATGTGATAGAGGTGCCGTCGAATAATTGGGAGAAACCTGCGAAGCTACTGGACGATTATTAGTGGTCATAATATTTCCACTGTTAGTATAGCAGCTCCGTGCCGACGATTGGGTCTGAACAGGAAGAGCCTGAACACCAACTGGGACCCGCGTCACGTTCCTGGGTGGCAGTGTTGATATCCTCCCGGACTCATTCGTATTCCCGAATTGGAACTGCTGCATTTGCGGCGCATTCGGTGAAGGCGTCCCATTTGGCGACGGCCCAGAGATTGCGTTGAAAGCACCTTCACTAACTGAAGTCGAGACGTTAAGACTACTTGGTCTCGCATTAGACGGGACATCCCCAAAAGTCGAGAGGAACACTGCTGACCAGAAGTCATCTTGGGTGCTGCTGCCTTGACAAGCCCGGGACATCGAGTTTTGTGCAGCCGTCAGGAGATGCTTTGCGTCCTCGGCTTCCGAAGGGGTGACTTCGCTCATGACATCATCAATCTCCGTGAGGTCGAGTATGTCAGCGGGCCCCGGCGGGGACTCACCCCGGCCCAGGTTCGGGGCCACATCGTTCGGTTTTTGAGTGGTGTCGTCAGTTTCGGCTGTGGTGGCGCTCCATGAGCCGTCAGAGGAGATGGTCACGTTAGAGACATGGGACCCGGCCTCTTTTAAAATCTGCGGAAACAAAATATACAAGTGGATTTTATGAATGTGTGCGTGTATCACATCGGGATTTATTAAATTACACGTGCAGGCACAAATGCAATGCAATTTTAGTCATGTTGATTTGACGTCATAGCAATTTTAGTCCCAAGATTCCAACGGCCTGTGATGTGATTTAAAATTTTGTTGCAATTTCAGTACTGAAATTACAACACTGAAATTGCAAAAACATTTTAAATTATAAGACTTAAATTACTAACCGAAAATCAGGAAATTTGGAAATTTGTTCCAACTTCAGTCCCCAAAGGACAAAGGACTAAATTGCAGCAAAATATTAAATCACATAACCAAAATGCAAAATGTTGGAACCTTGGGACTAAAATTGTTATGGAGTTAAACCAGTAGGACTAAAAATGCAATTTTGCGACTTGCCTTGAACATCTTCTGGTCGATGCGGATATCGGTGAAGGAGACGTGTTGATTGCAGTGCGGGCAGCGCCAGGAAGGTCTTCGTGAATTTATGTCCACGTAATTGTCGAAATCAAAACACTGAGAAAACAATAGTATTTATAAGAAGACAAAATGAAATTAATATAATTAAAACCAGAAATGCATCGGAAGTCTAATGAATATTTTCTCTGGTAACTGATCATAATAAATGAAACTGAAAGAGTGGATCACATTTCACACTTGAAATTAGTACATTGATTCAAACTGTGTAATGCTTGCAGTTACCTGAATATGCTTGCATGAATGTCCTTTTACAGGTGTCTTGATTTTCTTGAAGCTGCCAAATGTTAAGAACATGATAAAGAAATCAGAAGAACACGAAGCAGCAGCCGGATTTGAACCGGAATCAAATAGTCTGCTTATACACATTTAGAACTGGCATGAAAAGAAATTGTTACTTGAGCAATAAGTCTAAAGAGTTACCTTATAGGACAATTTAACGAGATTCGCGAAGGCCCCACAATTATTTCCGAATCTACCGAGCAAAAAGAAATAGAAGAAGACATGAAGGAAAAAGAAAGTTGAAGTCAGCAAACAAAGATGACTTACTCCATCAGATAATGGACCACTGCTAGCTCATTTAGATAAAATAATGACGATGAGATATTCTAAGTCCAATGTTAAGAAACTTTTCAAAGGAATCACCTGCATCAACAGTTGCAGGAGCATGCTGCTCGTAATCTTGGAGTGTGTTATTATCAGGATTTGGCACCTCACTCGTGAAAGCAACGGCTATACAATAGTTTCCTTCAGAAGACCAATACACATAGTAAGCAACTTTTGTAATGTTTCAAAACTAAAAACAGAAATATTGGAAGAGGAAACTCGAGCCAAGAGTACCATTAAATTCACCAACAGCCTGAAGGAGATTCGTTCCATATTTCAACAAATTATTAACAATAGTTGGGATTTGTGGCCCAGTATCCTGGTAGGACCAAAAGATATTTAATTATTTATTAGTAGAATATTTATGCAAACGTTTAGTAGATGTACATCTTTCAAATTTAATTAACCAGCACAAACCAGGGAATGATTAGTTCTCCTCTCCACTCCCCTTCCGTTCAAGAGGAAGCTGCACAGCAAACAGAGTATGTGAATTGATCTCAGTGCAAAATAAAATATTTCTTTTTCAGTCGAGATATGGCTTACTTTACTTTGGCAGGACTGACAAGACAGGCCGAAGTCTCAGTATTATCAGTTTGAACGACAAGTAACCTCTGCAGCCAAGAAAGAATGATAAGATGAGCAGGCAACAAAAATTAAGGGTCCCTAACCTCACCTATCATCTTCAGGAGCTTAAAGTAAAAACAAGTTGTTAGAAACACTGCAAGTATAGAAAAAGCTGAACTGTAACACCATCGGTCAATAATGGTACTAAATCTGTTACTCACTCCTATCCAAGATACCCCAGTAATCAGAACGATAACCAAACACATAATATTTCAGATATGGCGACCAATCAGACTCATGTTCAGGAAAAGAAAAAAAAAAAGGAACTCTATCATACGGCCACATGGACCACCAACTTATATAAATTATTCGGTAGCAACAAATTTAAGTTAAAACAGCATCAGCTACGAACTAACTCAGATGACGACCAGTTGTCAAGTCATAATGATAGGCAATACCCATTATATCTTGAGGAGAGTAGTGATTGAACATGCTTACTATTTTATCTTGGGGAGAGGTACTTATATTTTTTGAAATCTGGAAGTCCTTCACATATGCATCGTATCCAGGCTACAGCAAGAAACCAGTATTATCATTTGGAAAAAATCAGATCACATAAATGCAAGAATGGAAGGTAAAATAACTACCTTGACTTCAAGAAGAGCTAAAATATGACCCAATTTTATTCTTGGGTAGAATCTGCACGAATATGCCAAATACTTTTCAGTTGCAACATAAAATTTTGAATCAAAACCAAATATTACACACACTGAGAGAGAGAGAGAGAGAGAGAGAGAGAGAGAGAGAGAGAGAGAGAGAGAGACCAGAGCAGCAAGCATCAGAGGATGAGAAAGTCATCTTTATTAATTATTTCACTTGGTAGTCACATGGAACTCTTTCTTCTAAGTTGCTACTATAAACACATCCACTATATAATTATAATAAAGGTTTAATATGAAAATTTAATATAACATAGTAACTAGTCCTCTGAAGCTTACAGAAAATAAAACAGACAAACTTCTGTTTGCGCTCTCCAGTTTTCACATACCCAAACGACTTAACTCAATATCAAATAAACATCTAATCAGGACATAATTAAAATAACCGGCAAGCAGGAGAGAGTGAGAATGCATGGACCAATGAAGTTGTCCATGCAAATTAAACCGAAATGTGAATGTTAGTACTTGTACACTACAGCCATCATGACCAATTATACAGAAAAAAATAAATAAATAAGAACAATAACATCTGTCCATACAAACAGCATATACGGAGTAACGTAGCATACCTTGACATGATTGTGGAGATGATAGAAAGATGATGATCTGGCTGATTGTTACAGTTTGATACGCTGCAAAAATTGGTTTCAATCTGGAGAGGGAAAACAGAAAATATTAAAAGAATGAGAAAATTGCATATAGAACCCATTGGTTAAAAAATCATCAGAATCAAATAAGAAAATGTTCGCCCACCTCCTTCGTCAGATTGCTAAGCTCATCAGAATCAGCTACAGAAAACCACCCAGTTTGACAAGCACTCTGTCAAATACCGTCACAAAAAAACCACAATAAAGTTTACCTTCACTCCAGTTGCAGAAAATGAAGAAACCCACATAAAAGTGAATTGCTCTAACTCATTCACCAGATGAGTTTCACAATGGTTATTTCAATTTTGTAAATAAAATTATAAACACAGATATATTAGCAGGACCTTTAAGCAAAAGTATATTTGAAGATGGATTCTCTTTCCACTATTTCATAATGGTCCGACCATCAATTAGATTTTACAAAAATGGCAAAACTGCTTTTACATCATGTCTCAATAACAGTCTCATAAATGATAAGAAGTCATGAGATACATTCTCACATAGCAACGCAAACTTCTAAAATGGTGTGTTAGAAAGCCAAACTATAGGACAAAATCAGAATGTCATGCCTAATATAGGCTGGATCAGAGAAATTACCTTGACAGAAATCATCAGGACCATTATTGATGCTTGCAGGACGCTGTCAGTTTTATATTGGCATACCTAAATGCGTAAAGTTAAACGTAAATGACAAAAAAATAATTATCAATTTGTTGAACATCTGAAGATAAGATTAAGGGTGATATAGCAATAGACAAAGCTACCTGAGCATGACTGAGTGCATACTGAAAATACAATGGTAATACAAACAAAATCAACAAATAAGATCTTCATTTATAAACCCTTTATGTATGCTTAGTCCTGCATTGTCTACACTTCAGCTTTATTATATGTCAGATGAAGCAGTGATTTCAGGTTCTAGTTATATGTTTGTCTTTGGAATATGAGATCAGATTCTTTTTTTTTTTTAATCCTTATCGGTACATGAGATCAGATTCTTTTATGCACGAGCCATGGAACATCTGGTTTCCTGGGTTTTGACTATTTATGTAGCAGGATTGAAAGATCACAAACATCCTGATCTATTTCTGGTTTTAGTATTGCGATAATTTCATTTAAATACATGAAATAAGATGACGTAGACATTTCTTTTTTTCCTATGTCCGCTTACTGAGCTTCAGAAATGAAAGAATAATTAAAAGGGGGCTTTTCCATGGGTATCTTGATCATGATTCATTCCAAGAAGAGAACATAGAAGTCCAAGCAAAATAATAAGAACCTTGTATGTTCACATGTTAGATCCTTATAATTTTACAACCATTTTATGTAACTTACATTTCAAGTGCTTAGAAATGTCTGAAAAATTAAACAAGTTATGCATAACTACCTTCTTTACTAATGAAGGCAGATCTGGAGATCTGCTTGGAACCTCATTATTTCCAATGGCAAAATCAATACTTCTGCATTGTAAAAATACATTATAACACAAAATATCGTCAAAAAAAAGTAAAAAACATATAACGTATATAATAAAAGTAATGTATACAGCTCCCTAGGAATCATATGAGAGTATGCTGCAGATGAACCACATATAATGATTCACTGAGTGAGCAAATCCAAAACTTAACTCACAACATGGACCGGACCCATAAAACTTTAATAACAAGGTATTTCTGGCTCACATGGTATGCCACAACAAATGACAAAAGGCTGATAATATTCATATAGACTCAAACTCATTCTTTTGGGTAACTTCTGCAGCCAACCACCCCAAGTAATGGTAAATAAGTATGGTGGTAGATAGCCTCTTTCCTAAAATCCATGAAATTAGACATTCAACGCGAGAGGGCAACGGGAATATAGGGCAGTTCAAGTCACACACGCGGACCATAGATTTTTTTCACGGTTTCAGCAATGTGCCAGACACGCATTTCACAATTTCTGACAGATATTATCTACTTGTACTCATAAAATCCAGTCAGATGAAAGGGCACGTCTTAATCGTCGCACGGTAGCTAACACAAACCAAAATGTCCAAAACTAAATTCATAAAATTAAAGATTTGACAACATGAACTACATGGAATGCCATGTAATCAGTAATCACCAACAATTAATAGAGCAGCTTATCCACGACCAATCTCCAGAGAGAGAGAGAGGGATTGGAAACACAATATATGATGTAGAAATCAAAATGTTCACGTTTTAGAAGTCTTTGCTTTTAGGCATAAGGAACATATGGAGTTACCAACCAAAACGATGAAACTCAATGGAAGAACACCCTGCAAATAATTGTGTCATTTGTATGATAAATATTACTTGGAAAGATAACTTTGATGCAAACGAACAATTAGAGAGGAAATGTATCTGTTGTGGGGAAAGGAAGATAAATGATAAGAATTAAGAACCACAATTACCAATAGCTAATTGCTAACTGTGCGAATATTTTCACTTTGAACAAGGGAACACCTAAACAAACTGCCCATTTATTTGCAATCTTGGAAAATGATAGCACAATAATCAACTCGATCCCCACAAATTGAATAACAATACATACTGCTTGAGTAAGAAGCAATTTGCCCACAGTTAGAGGGACATGTTATACAGAGTACCAATTCAAAGATATACACCTGCTGCCTATGCACCAAGCTAAAAATTAACCTAAATCTGCACAACAAAACTGCCCATTTAGCATAGCTAAGCCAACTTCAACATGTCTGGTTAATTGCTACCCATGAGCCATAAAAACCAAACCACAAGGACCTCTAGAATCTCACTATGAACAAGAAATTCAACATCTGCAAGACTGCAAGCACAATAAATAAAATACAACACGAACGCGAAATCATATTTGGATAGATTTTGAGGAACAGAAGCAAAATACAGCAGCCACTCTCAAAAGTAAAACCCACAATCAATCGAATAAACCAGTAAGCACGATAAAAAATAGGGAAACTGCGAGTGTAAAGGGCAGTACCTAGCGAGGGAAAGGCATAGGTTTAGGAATTCGACGGTCTCGCTCTTGCGGTTGCCGTAAATATGAGCTAGTAAACGGTCCATGACGGCAGACATGCGGAACGAGTTCCAGTCCGACGCGCTCAAGCTGGATTTCAGGGCGGCTGAGCCGTCGGTCACTGGAATTCCGGCCGCGGGAGGCGGTGTCACCGCCGTGCCGGCCATCCTTCCCGGCTACTGTGCCGAATAGTATAGTCGGCTTTAGGCAGAGAGATTAATTATAGACTTTTATAGTGCCCGTTTTGTGTCATCTTCTTTCTATTTCCTTCTTCTTCGGATCAAATCATACTCTTTTGTTCTCTTTGTTTTTTTTTTT